GATGATCCCTCCATCGAAGCAGGTACAGTCCCACCACAGAGTGCTGGCAAACCAGAGCCACCACCTAGCATGCCAGAGACACCAACAGTTCCACCGCACCAGAAAGAACTGTATACTCCGGCAACGACGGAGACCTTCCAACAGCGAAGAGCCAAAGTAGATCGACAAGAGACACTCTCGCTCTACCAACCCGCCACCGGCAGAGTCCGATATGGACCAAACAGAGAAGCGTTTGACAGCACCCGGGCAACAACCAGCCCGTACACCAGGCCCACGGCACCAGATCCCGAAGAAGCACTCACGTTGAGCACCTTCGATACAGATCTGGCCAAAGCGGACCAACTGACACTACCACCCGGATGGACCCTGGAAAATGGTTTTCTCACCTTGGAGGACCCCAGGGATGAATGGACCTTGCACAGCGACAAGCTCATCCGGAAACATTATGAACCACGAGACACCATGTTTGATCCAAGTGATCCCACCAATGGTTGTCCGCTACCGCTGCACTACCGAGCAAAGATCGAGTCACCAGAGCAGCTGGCTACAAGGAGACCTATGACCGCTGGAAACAACAAAAGGACAGAACAACACCACACCCCTGGACAGGCCAGACGATCTTTAAGATCCTACCAGCATACCGCCGATTGGCGATGGACATGTTCTACAACCTCAGCGGAGGACACTCCTCCTACATCGAGCCAATAGCACCAGAACAGGTCCTAGAGACCACAGACAAAGCAAACACTAAAGCACTCGGCCCCAAGGCCAAAGCAAGAAAAGACCAGCTCAGTGAATGACACATGAGCTTGGCAGACCGCATGGCATTCATCGAAGCCAAGCGAAAGGAGCTGGAAAGTTTTTTTCAAAATGATGTTTGGGAAATGGTGCAAAACGATGGCACGATCCCGGCAGATCGCATCCTCAAAGCCCACTTCATCCTCAAATGGTCCAAATGGCCAAATGGTGAACCACCCAGGGCTTCAAAGATCCAGACGCCCTGTCTGGAACTCTGAGTACGGACTCACCCACGCTTTCCCGCACGGGACGAAACTTCATCCTGAGCATCGCAGCCAATACTGGCTGGGCCACCTTCAGTGCAGACGTCAGCGCGGCTTTCCTACAGGGCAAAGAACATCCCACCCACAGAACACTGTGGATTCAGCTTCCAGCTGACGCCCGCCGAATGCTCGGCATGGACAAACACCATGACAGCGCATCGTTGATGCAGCTTCGGAACCCATGTATGGTTTGTGCGACGCACCAAGAGCGTGGTATACCGAAGCTCGAGAGCGGATCACCAAGTTGGGAGCAGTAGTTCATCCGCTCGATCCCTGTCTTTTCCTGGTCCACGACCATGAAGCACCAGAAGACCTATGGACCAGCCAGACAGACGACAATGGCAACACAGTTCGGCATGCTCCACTCTCCGGCCTATTCGGCCTTCACGTGGACGACATCCTCGGCACCGGCAACATGGAATGCCCCTCCTTCCAGAGTTCAGTCAATGCCTGAAGAAGACCTTCAACTTCAGGACATGGGAGGAGAACTGTGATATGGACTGCTGTGGAGCTAAGATCCACCGGATCAATGAGCACCACTACGAGGTGAAACACACCACCTACCTGGAGAAGCAAAAGCCCATTTCGTTTGAGAAGGCTCCAACAGAACAAGCAGTTTCTGAGAAGCAGCGCACTATGCTTCGTGGAATGATTGGAGCATTGCAATGGCCATCAACACAAAGCAGCCCGCACCTGCAAGCAATGACAAGTCAGCTAGCAGGAATGGTGAGCAAAGCAACAGTTGGTACGTTGCAAGAAGCAAACAAGTGTTTGAGGTTTGCAAAGCAGTACAGTGATGTTGGTTTGAAGTTTGAAGGGCTCGGCAGCTGCACAGATTTGACGTTTGTTGCTTACAGCGACGCAGCCTTTGCGTCGAGAGCTGATCTCACATCGCAGGGGGGCCATCTCATCATGATGACCAACCATGGAGTCACCCAAGGCCAAGAAGGTCAGTATCATTTGATCGATTGGCGCTCCTGGAAGCTACCCCGCGTGGCGAGGTCGAGCTTGGCAGCTGAAAGTCAGGCGGCATCCGAAGCCTCGGACGCACTGCTGTACACCTCTGTATTCTGGAAGTTGATTTGGTCACCCTTCCTGGCGCTCGAGGACAGCAAGACCCCAAAGTTGAAGCATCCACCACGGTTGGTGGTTGATGCCAAAGCACTGTATGACCTGTTGGTCAGGCAGGATTTGCAAACAGCCTCCCAAGCCGACAAACAGACCAGCATCGAGGTTCTGGTCACCAGAGACAAGCTTTCCTGCACAGGTGCTACAACTTTGGGTGTCGAGCGAACTGCAGTACGCTGACGGCATGACAAAGCAAGCCGCAGCCGGCCTCCTAGCTCAGAGACTCAGAAGCCACACCACGTGCTTGCGACCGGACGCAAGCTTCACAGCTTCAAAGAAGAAGAGCTTGGACCAGCGGCGCTTGAACCAGATGCGCTACGCAGTTCCAAAGTCCAAAGAACTGCTGAACGCAGCCATGTTTGTCACTCTAGCTACCACCTCCACTGCGCACTCCACCGAACCTCCACCCAACGGCAATGACAACTTTGACATTTACAACTTCATGTTCCTTATACAATGTTTACATTGTTTGTGGCAATGGTTGGGCATTTGTTATGGCACTGTATCACCACCCGTTGGACGGCCTTGAGGTCCACACCTCCAGTGCTGGAGCTGACCGACGATGGCCAGCTAGAAGAGACTGAACCGCCCCCTTTGGTTCAGCTCGAGGAAAACTATGCCCAGACCGACGAAGACCGCCCCCTGCTCACCTTGGTACAGTTGAGGCGCCGAGAGCGCGAATTGGAAAATGAGATTTCTGACCTGAAGAAGCAGCTTTTGTGGGTGAACACCCAGCACAAGGACATGTACAACAAGATGGGCAGAAAGCTGCAAGGTATGGTCGAAGTCCACAACCTCCAATTTGAGCAAATGCGGCTTCGCTACGAGAAGGAGCTCAAAGAGCGCACCCGCAACCGCGCTCGGAATGCTGTCGGCAAAGACATCTACCGTACAGAAGCAGGTGAATGCTGGCACGCATCTTTTCAGTGTGCCCGTGGTCGGACAGCGAACATCACGCACATCCTTCGACCCTGCAAGGTTTGCGCAAGCAAGCTTGGAGAGGATTTGTTGCCTGACATGGACGAGAGCTTTGAGCCAGCTTCCTCTTCCACCAGTGTGAATGTCACTCCATGACATGCTCAAACCAAGGTTGCTGGACTGAGGAAAGCTCTCGACGACCGCTGGCACGTGGCTCCTTGTTTCCACCCCTGACCTCCTAAGATGGGAGGGCGACGTCACGACGCTCGAGCCATGCCTACGTTGGTGTGAAAAGACCGCACCAAACCGGAAAACGCGAGACGACACTTCGTGAGGTTGTTTCTTGGATTGGTTGCAGTTTGTTGCTACCTTCAAACTTTTCATTTATGAAACATGTTGTGTCGATGAGTGTGTCGACGCTCACAATGGTTGTTTCTTTTTTGTGTTTGCAACACATGTTCCAAAATGATGAGGTTTGTGAAAAAGCGTTTACAAGATATTAACAGTTTTTTGATGCTTTTTGTGTTGACCTTAGAATACAACCAGCTTCTGTTCAAGAACGAGCCCCAAAACAGTAACCTGTTTGTGGGAAAACTCAAAAGTGGCAACCATGGAAGCACACCTACCCAAACTTACGATCGGGGAGTTTCTTGTTCAGATTTGCATGTTTCCAAGTAGCTCTCTGGTGGTCTTGCCTTTTCGTGGAATTTGAGCGCTCCAGAGAATGTAACTTAGATTTTAGACGAGGGAGGGAGAGGAGGGAAGGGAGGGAAAAGAGGGAGGATGGGCAGAAAAGGAAAGCTCACCTGTTCTAAGGTCCCCATCCATGAAATGGAAGCATAGAATCATAAGGGGGTGGATGTAACTTAGCCCTCCCTCCCGCGCCAGTGACTTGCAGGAATTGAAGCACCACCACGGGCTGCTTGATTGTTATTCAGCTGAGTCTAGTCTTGTGTTCCCATCCCCCAAGAATGACAAAGGCCAGCATCCATTCACAAATGCACAGGTGGACAAAAAGGATTTTAAAAGGATGAAGGTTGGCCGGAGCTTGGCATGTGATTTATAAACAACGTAGCACTTCTTCATGTTCACAAGTCTCTCCAGACCCTCAGCTCAATGAAAGGACTGGGTGGGCATCGAAGTGAAAATTTATGGCATACCACCACTACGCCAGTCCTCCACCACCATCGCCATCACTACCAACCCCACCGCCCCCATGCAGCCCACTGATTGGAGTCTTTTGCTGAGGTATTCTTGTCTTGGCCGTAGCGCTGAAGCTGGGTTATGCAGGGTGCGAAAGGCCACCGCCGAAGCTCAATGGCTGGATCATGGGTACGTTTAAAAAGGCAACTCGCAGAAGCCAAGCTTTGAACAAGGCAAGGAAAGTTCCCTTTGCTGATTTAGGAGATCCCTCGTTCAAAATTAAAACTCTATATAATGCAAAATCGTTCTTCTTCCAAATCAAATCACCCTGTTATTTGCTTGCTCCAACTTCTTGTCTAAATCGTCCACCCTTGCTGCAAAAGAATGATATAAGAAGCAAATCCAAGAAGAGGTACGGGCTCTTTGGAATTGAAAGTGAAGGGTGAACAAAAGGTTCAAAATCAGAAGCTCTTGACAAAATAAAGGAATCGCCGAAGTGTAGCAGTAATAACCTTCCCTTTGAGCCTTGTGTATTAGGCTAAGGGCGCTGAAATCTCACAATTCAGAGTTTTAGAGCTGGCACGAACCTTAACTGACTTGAGTCAATGAAATGCCAGAGAAGGGCGACACGAATCACCAGCATCAGCAAAGGCAATCTCGCGAGGGTAATGTTAGCGATTGCTAATTGAGTGGCCGGGAAGGAAAAAGCAAGTTCTTTCGGTACAAAACCTGAAAAGTTAACACTATGGCCTCTGGGCTTGCAGCGCTGTGCCAACGCTCTCCCAGTGCATTTGCATCAAAGAAGCGGCTCGCCAACTGCAGCAAAAGAACAAACATAATGGACTAGACCTTTTCAAAAAGAACCTCCTGTCTCTGTTCTCCGGCTTTCTTTCCCTTGGATTTGTTCTTGCTCTTCCTCTTTTCTTGTTCGTTTCCTTCTTCTTGTCTTCTTTTGGGAGGATGTGACATGGGTAGAGTAGCTAAGAGATTCTACATGCAAGGATGCAGTAGAGTTCAGGGTCTTCAAGGATGCTTCTCCTGCCTTCAAGACCCCTCAAATGATCGAAACCAAAATGTGATTATATAACGTCAATCGATGAGCTGTTGAAACTGAAGGCAGTTGAAGGCTTTCGATCGCCTGTTGCAAACGTGGCTCTTGACGCCTCAGTGGCACTTTTCTCGTCGTCGTCCAAACATATTCCACTCAGAAATTGGATAGCGACATCAAGCACTACTAAGTTACTGACTCACGCCAAGCAGCAATGCGCTCCTGCACTCCATTGGAGAATGTCAGCTTGCCGGAACAGTACCAAACTAGTTGGATAGAAAGGCAAGCCCCCTCACTTCAAGAACACTAAACATTGCTGACAAATATACTGATCCAAGTGGATATATTGCAATTTCTGCGGCTTCTGTAGGTCTCCGTTGCAAAGTATGGTGATGGATCCTGTTGACTGAAACAATGCTCGTGAAATTTCTTCATTAGTCCTCCAGATCCCGCAAATTTCTTGCACGAGCCAGTCGCATCTCATGTCGTCGCCTGGATCCAGATCAACTGGATGACATAGAAGAGACATGTTCTGTTCAACAGACCATGTAAATTCAATCTATGGTTGTCGCACCCGTCATTGATGCTTTTTCCGGCAATGCCTCGCGAGGCATCTCTCAGAACTGCCAACGTGATCCACACAAGTAGGGCTCAACAGGGAGTTCCAGAATGCCAAAAAGTGCGGTTTGAAAATATAGCAGCTTCCGGACGAAAAGTTGCAATCAGAATGTTCAAGACTAGACAAGAAGTTGCAAGAAGGGCCTCACTCCAGAGTTTCTATTTTCGGGCACAAGCTTTCAGGGTTCAAAGGTTCCAGAATTCCAGGTCGACATGTTGCAACAACAAAACGGTTCCGGAGTCACAGCATTCCGGAGTCCCAACGTTCCAGGGCGAGGTGAAAAGTTGCAATAAAAACCTGGTTCCAGTGTGACCAGGGCCTTTTCTGAGAAAAGTCCCTACAGGCCTATAGGTTCCAGCTATCTCTGGGAATAACATACTCAGTCGGGATCTGGTCGAAGTGTCTCCTTCCAAAAATGGCTGAAAGTCGTGTTCACATGGGGGCCCGCTATATATTCTTTACTTTTGACACACACAGCTGGTTAATGAAGGAAACATGGACCAAACAAGTATTGGCACCAAGTTGTAAGAGGCGTCACTAGCGCTGCACCGTTTTCAGCTGATCTCCGAATTTCAAGCCATGCTTGAAACAAAAGACTTGTTGGAGGTCACCTTTGGAAGGGTCCATGCTGGCATCTGGCAGTGTTTGCTAGCGCGGATCTAGCGCAGTGCTAGCGCGCGGCTAGCGCGCATTTTTCTTAGCAGCTACTTTTCAAAACCTGATGACCTTCTGAACATGTCCTAAGTCAATCACTAGCGCAAGTCTACCGCAAACCTAGCGCCCAGCTGCAGAATAGATGTGTTTAGCTGGGGGCCCGCTTTCTTTCTTTCTTTCTCGTGCCATGGGTGTGCTGACTAACCGGCACTAACGCAAAGTTCTAAGAAAGAATCTGTCACACTCGTAGGCACCCCTAAAAGGCCAGCATCACTCAGTACATCTTGCGCAGCAAGTAGACAAAAGAACCACGCAATGCAATTTAATTTAGTATCTAAGTAGTAGCGAAGTCCAGGTCAAGCCTGGTGAGAACATGCTTGTCAATGCAAAATCGTCAGAATTCAGAGCTTCTAGCCGCATTGAGGATATATGTCAGCTGTTCATTGGATTTGGAAAACTCAATATCTGGGCAAAGAAAATCCCAACTTTGTTTTGTTAAATTGCTTTGCGTGGTTCTTTTGTCTACTTGCTGCGCAAGATGTACTGAGTGATGCTGGCCTTTTAGGGGTGCCTACAGGTGTGACAGATTCTTTCTTAGAACTTTGCGTTAGTGCCGGTTAGTCAGCACACCTATGGCACGAGAAAGAAAGAAAGAAAGAAAGCGGGCCCCCAGCTAAACACATCTATTCTGCAGCTGGGCGCTAGGTTTGCGGTAGACTTGCGCTAGTGATTGACTTAGGACATGTTCAGAAGGTCGTCAGGTTTTGAAAAGTAGCTGCTAAGAAAAAATGGGGGCCCGCTACATAATCTAATTGAAAAAACAACATCAGAAGCTACTTTCGACCCCTTTATCTATGTTTTTTGATTATAGACGTTTGGCCTAATTAAATACATTGACAGACTTTGCGGTTCTTAGTGTCTAACGTCATGGCCAGCCACGATCTCTCAACGTCCTTGCTCCAACCCCGATGACTGAGTTTGAGGATTCTACGGGTGGACGCCAGCTGCTGCTCCAACTCTTGAGCAGTCCTAGGTCATAGATTGCATGTGCCAAGTGAACTAGCTGCCACGACGACCTTCACTCTTTGAGATTGAAGTCACTTAGACTCTGAAGTTGGGAGCATATGGGATCATTTCGACTTCAGCACATTAGGGAGACTAGACAAACTCAGTGTCCCAAAGGCCACATCGCTGTCACTCATCAGTACTAGAATTACTATAATTACATGTAAGGTAAGCCGAGGAATGTGCTGACCAACACCAGCGCGATCCACCCAGTGACGGGAACCATGCCAAGCCCTGCCAAGCATTTGAGCTACACACTGAGGTCTAACCAGCCATGCTTTGTTCTTCCAAAACCTTTCTGAAGTTGCAAAACGACAAAACTTTGCGCACTCGCCAACGGCATTGGTGTCGTACTGTTGGTACCAAAACTCGTTCGATGCCTGGCAAGCACAAAACATCTTGCCAATCCAGCTCTCTGTTTCAATTTTGGTCTCAAAGACTGTTGGAAAACCAGCCATCTTGACGGGCTGCGTGAAGCGACGCATCAAGACCTCTACAAATGTCAATCTCAGTCCCTGAACTGTCCAAAGGTCGTGTTCAAATAGTTTCGACTTCCTGATACTTGGCTGTTCCAACATCACCTTCATGTTCCGGTTGCCTTGAGGGATGGTGGCTCGACTGACTCTGGAGGCGGTGTCATGACCTCCTTGACAAGACAGTGCTCATTGGTGATGTTTTTCAAGAATAGCTGGAGGTCCTCCAGTACGACGGAGCAAGGTCCAGACAGAGATGCAACCTGCAAAAGCTCTATGCTCCAGTTTCTTTTCAAGTGTTCCTTTTCTTTGGCCGAACCTTCCAACTTGCTGCAAGCAATAGGGCTGCGAGTAACGTACCTTCATCGTCAGCCCCACTGAGTATCTTTCGCAAAAGCAAGAGCAACATCGGAGCACTAAGTGGCCTCGAGCGGTGAAGCCTGACAACACAAAAAAAAAAGCACCTTGTTACTAGCAGCGATGCCCTTTGTTCCTAGTAGCGTCCTTGCTCCTAGTAGTAAGGCCAGGAGCCCCTAGTAGCTTCTTGTTACTACCAGTAGCAGCTTGTTACTCGTAGCTTCGGGCGTAAAAACCTCAAACCTTGTGCTTTGGCTTTTGCGCCTGAGGTCAGTGACCGTGCTCAAAAATGCCAAATGCTGCGGGTACTCAAAAGGAACGAGTGGCACAGGCTATTTCACCAAAGGCCTGATGTCATCTGGCATCAAGATTTGGCATTCTCCCAAACTAGGAATGTATATACCGGGTTGGCACTTCAAAGTCCACTAGACCTGCTCAAGTAGCTTGGACATTGTCCAATATCCACATTCATATATTACATATCTATATATATATATACAGAAGGGGTGGCCATGGGGCCTGGGTTTTGGTTTTCCCCAAATGTTCATGAATATTAGGTAAATGCATCAGTGCCACAATCAAAACCAAAAAACACTGATAAATATGCATAAAGGAGTGCCACAATCAAAACCAAAAAACACTGATAAATATGCATACAGGATAAAAACCAAAAAAGAACTAAAAAAGCCTTAAGAAAACAAAAAACAAAAAAGAACAATTCTGGGAGACTCTTGGCTGGACCCCCCAAAATCAGAAAAACAAAAAAAACAAAAAAAACCTTGGGAAAACCAAAAAAACCTAAAAAAACAAAAAAACAATTCTCAGAGACTCTTGGCTGGACCCCCTTTTCCTCAAGACTTCCCCAGAATTGGTTTTTTTGTTTTTTGGGTTTTTTTGGTTTTCCCAAGGTTTTTTTGGTTTTCTGATTCTTCTGATTTTGGGGAGTCCAAGCAAGAGTCTCTCAGAATGTTTTTTATTTTTTGTTTTCTCAAGGTTTTTTTGGTTTAGCATCTGAGCTTACTTCTCACCTCAAGGCATCTGTTCTTTTTGCTTACATCTGAAACCGTCTGAGCTCAACACTTCCTTTGTCCTTGTCCAAATCTCCATATACAAGTCTGAGTGCATTAACTGCTGACTGGTATCAATGCGGTTGCCACTTGCATTTCCAAACAGCTTGACATGCAGTTGCGAGGACACTCTGTCCTTTACATGAAACGGTTGGAAATCTTTGCGAGCGTACTTCTGTGCTTGTAGCTCAAGCGTTTACATCTTATTCTGGCGAACTTCTAATTTTAATTTCAATTCCTTTCAAATTCAACTTTCATCTAATTTCAATTAGGCTATAGTTATAGTTCAATACAAGTTTAGTTAAAATTCGGTTTTGATTCAGTTCTATCTTAGCTCTAACTCAAATCCAATTTAATTCTACCTAATTCTATTCTAGCTCTAGTCTATTTAGTTTAAGAGAACACATGCTACAAAACCCCGTGTTTTACAGTATTTTTTGCTGTGGAAGTGCTGGGAACAAGACTAAAACTCTTTTTGGGAGTAAATAGTTAGATTTATTTATTGTCAGTAATCATTCGAGATAATATATACATATTAAACATGTTGTATGTACAAGCTTCTAATTCAAGAGCTTCCCTCTAGATCTCTGGGGATGATCATTTCTACAATAAAACTATATTTAGCTTTCATTTCAAAAGCTTTCCCCTGGATCTCTGGAAATGGTCGTGCTATATATCAATAAATAAGTCTTTCTTTCAAGAGCTTTCCTTTCATGAAAACACATATATACATATATATATGTGGGATATCTACTTTCCCGGAGATCCTGAGGAAAGCTTTGAAAATGCAAGCTCTTGCCCGCAGAAATCTAGAAGAAAGCTTTTAAACAACAAGGTTTCTATATAGTTGTTTAAATCTAAACATGATTATCTGCAGAGATCTACTATAGAGAATCTTTTATAACATACAAGCGTCTATATACAATCTTTCCAAATCAAAATATAACTATAAGCAGAGATCTAGAGGACAATGGTTAAAACGACCACTTTTATGGCCTGCTTCTTTTCTAATTATCTTGTTCAAAACCATCTGAATGATTGAGTGCTGCTTCCAAAACAATAAAATTTCCCTGACTCAGGAATACATAATATATTTGTTCGTATAGAGTGAGAGCAAAAATAGATATGTGTGTTTATATGGAGAGGGGCTGCCACTGAAGCATTTACCTAAAATTTGGGGAAAACCAAAACCCAGGCCCCATGACCACCCGCTCTCTATATATAAATGCCCTATAGGCTTCTCCAACGGCACGCCTGGCCATGGCTGCAAAGCAGTGAAGGTCAAAAGCCCACTGAGCTTTGTTTTGGGCCAACGGCTACGAAGTTCCAGATGTTCAAAAACAGCGCGAATCCAGTTTCAAAATTAAGCAGACTTACAGTATCACCAATATGACCAGCGCAATCACAAAGGGGCCTGGAAGTGGAATGCCTCGAGCAAACAATCCGGACACCTATTGATTTGATCGATTGAAATCTCGGTGGTCCCGATTCCAACCAATCGATATTACTTCTTTGTATGGTCTTCTTGCTCTGTTGCACAGCTTTGTTTGGCTATTTGGGCTCCTAGGCTGTTGACTTCTTTTGTGCCACCCGCGCAGGGTGGTCTTCCCAGACCTTTCAGTCAAAATGATGTGTAGAAATCATGCTGATCCCTCTTTGACTTCCGCCTGTGTCTTCTCTTTCTCTTCTTCATGTTTTTGCCTGGCTGCAAGCCACAAGCAGAAGACAATATTGACTTAATTAAACTGTTGTCTTAGCTGCACCTCCGGTGCTCTTCCTTCCTTGCGGCCTTTTCAGCCTTCCGGAGTTGCCGTTCTGCTTCCTGGTGACTCATTGTGGTCGGATCTTTCCACATTCATCATGGAACGATACTCTTTCCCGCCCTTCTGAGAGATCTCCTCAGCATCATAAGCTGGAAAGCCCTTGTGCTCCATTAGTGGCATGCCCCAAGGAGGTACCGCCTCGGTCACATAACTTCAATTCTTCTTCGTCTACTGTCCTCCTTTTTGCCAGGGTTGGTACCCAGGGAGGTGGCATCATTGGCATCCCTGATCAAATAGAGAAATGGCTGGCGTTCGAGATCAAAATCGGAAATTCCTCACCAAAGTAAAACTTATTATATACTTATTGCCTTTCCAATGAAGGTGTTCAAGAGAAGCTCCAGAATAAAAAAAGAACAAGAAATGTTGACCTGGCATAGGTGGCATAAATGGAGGAGCTCCTGGCCAGCCTGGAGAGACTCAAGGAACAAGCTCAACAAAATGCTGTCGTCACCAAGGTCACTGCCCATAGAAGGGATTCCCTGGCGCAGCTCGCGATAGCTAATGAAGCATAACGAGGCAATTGAATCAAGGGAGATGATGGAAACAAGTCAAACGCCTTACGAAGAGCTTGAAGAAAAATCGAAAACATCGCAAATTCTATGCCACTACAATTGAACAAAATGATGTTCATTCACAACAGTCTTCTTTTCACAACAGTTGAAAGAAACCAAAGCCACGCATGTCGCCTCTTTTTCCCGGTCTCGGTGTCGCTCTCGGTCCCGGCGGCGCCGAGTCCGGTCTTTGCGTCGCTTGGATCGCGAGTGTGACCTCCAAACTTGCACAAAAAGATGAAAAGAGTTTCCAAGGGGAAGCAAGGCAGGGCAAAAGAAAAATATGAAAAGAGATGAAAAGAGGAAAGGCAAGGTATAGACAAGGTTTAGAATCCCACTTTGAAGGCCCTTACATTCCTTTGTTCATCTCTTTATTCGTGATGGGTTTGCTAGGCCCAAAGGCAATGCTAGCAATTGGCCCTGATATCGCAACATCCACTCGGATCCGAGATGTGTTTTAAGCTGTTTCAAGAACAAGACGGAACGATGGAACACATTAGCAAGCATACAGACTTGACTTTTGAAATCGCTACCTGGAACCAGAGGATGAGCGCGAGTCTGAGCGTCCCTTTGATGAACGAGACCTGGCACTGGAGGACAAACATCACACCATATTGTATAACCTAGATCGAAAGACCTCATTTCGGTGCTCCGAATCCTTTTGGCTGGGCTGGATGCTTCTCACTATGTTGACAACGCATTAAAAGCCTTTGTTGGCCCTGCACGACAAAAAGAAAAACATACAACAGTTGCGAATTCAACTTCCAACTCCATGCTATATGTATGTGTGCTCATTCTTTTGCAGCTGTCTCGAAATCTCAACTGGTCCATGCCTATAGCCTTATTATAGCCCTTTAGACTTGACTTGCATCAAGCCTTACATCTGCATTCAGACAGAAATCCATTCCTAGGTTTATTTGTACAGTCGCGCTTGGTCTACTCTACTTGTACATTCTTGGATATCCCTCCAAGACTCACAAAGAGAATCCTTTTCCTTCTCCTTCTCCGCTTCCTTCCCCTTCTCCTTCTGCTTCTGCTTCTGCTTCTTCCTCTTCTTCTTGTTTTCCCCAAACAGTGTGGACACACTTAGGGTTTCTTACGGTGAGTGAAAAGCAGCTGTGCTTAGACCGCTGGGGCGCGCGGGCGTGTGCGGCTAATTCGCTGCTATGAACCTCGAAGTGCAGATTTCGTTGCAGGAACAATAGTTAGTGAACCTCGAAGTGCAGATTTCGTGGCAGGCGCAGCACTTGGTGAACCTCGAAGCGCGGATTTTGTGGCAGGCGCAGTACTTTTGTGAACATCGAAGCACAGATTTCAGCGCAGGCGCAGCACTTTGTGCTCTCACACGCTCACTCTCTCACTCTCTCTCACTCACACACGCTCACACTCACACTCACACACGCACTGCGACTCTCGCTCACACTCGCACACACTCACACTCACACTCACACTCACTCCCCCACTCCCACTCACACCCACTCTCACACACACTCACCCACACCCACCTTCACTCCCACTCACACCCACTCACACTCACTCTCACTCTCACTCTCACTCACTCTCACTCTCACTCTCACTCTCCCACTCACACTCACACTCACTCACTCTCCCACTCTCACTCACACTCCCTTACACTCTCGCTCTCACCCACACTCACTCTCACCCACACTCACTCTCACTCTCACTCTCGCTCACACTCGCACTCAAACTCACTCACTCTCCCACTCTCGCTCACACTCACTCTCACTCTCACACTCACACTCACACACACACACACACTCACTCTCTCACTCTCTCACTCTGTCATTCTCTCACTCTCTCACTCTCTCACTCACTCACTCACTCACTCACACTCACACTCACACTCTCACTCTCACTCTCACTCTCACTCTCACTCTCACTCTCCACTCTCACTCCCGCCACCGTCACCACGATCCCCACCTTCATCACCACCATCACCTCTCTGGACCCCAATGCGTCTGGATCTCTAGACTTTTTGCTTATAGACCTCACACACACACTCTTTTACAGTACTATTATCATTCGCAATGGATGACACAGAATTAAAGTAGTTGTGTGACACATTTGTGATCGTCTGCAAAGAAAATATGTTCCTAATCTCACTGAAACCTGTGCGAGGGCGATTCACAGAACAATGATGCCTATGGATTGCATATCTTTCGCACTAAAGAGCCTGGATGACTTCGCTCTTGACCTCCTTTTGGTTTTACCTTTGACAAAGAAAAGCACTTAAAGCATGTGCCGCGCTGAGGAAACTGCCGCAAATGATCCCTTATTTGAATTCACTGCCAAGGTACTTCGTCTCTCATGTTTCCTTCGCGAGCTCCGCCAGCGGCCCCTCCCACCATCACGCTCTGAGAACACGACAGCTGAAAGCACTCGCAAACTGGAGCACTGAAACTGGAGCACTGTCCTCGAGCGGCGCCCCTTGCCCTCAATGGTGTAGCGGCTCCACCCTGATAGAAAACCAAATAACTCAGTGTCTGACTTGAAAATCATGTAAAAAACAATGCCAAGGCGCCACTTTCAGAGCGACTGCGACTTTTGCTTCTGCTACCTAATCCAGCTGACCCATACTAATAAATAAATCCCTTGAATCGGAGAACACAACATCTAGGTCACTGTTACAAAGTTTTAGAAAGACCTGTGCTAAACAGTGCACAATGCACAGCCAAGCATGGGGCTATGACGCTTCACGTCCTGACAAAAAACACATCAAGCGGTATTTGTGCATATCGTGGCATCGAGCATGACCGTTTGACACTGTGATTCTTGGAGGAGGAAAGCAAGCGACGGGCAAATCACCTGACCAGGGGACTTTTCCGGTGGCTTCACGACTTTGTCGGCCTCAAGATGAAGCTGCAGTCGGAAAGATTATACCTAATTCCAAAACATACAAATCACCCACATGCAATTTATTTGCAAATTGGCAAAATGGAGCAGCTGCGCAAACGGCCTGCGAACCTTTGTCTTCCCCACTGGCACTGCGGGATGGTGAATCCTGTCATTCAACACATCAAAGAGCAGAAAATCAACCCAACTGAAAACCCAATAGCAAAGCATCCACCAAGATCTGGCGTTTTTCTGCGTCAGTTGCACGTTGGCTCTCCGAATATCGAGACCAGTGTTCCCCCACAAGCAAAATATTGAAATGCATGCTGCATTCACATAAATAGTTTGTACAAAACAAACAAGTTCAATATCCAATCCAGGCAAAGTGTATGTTCTGGAGTTCCATCGACCGTGAAGCACTTGAGGAATGTTCGCGGAGTGCCGAAGTGTATGTTCAAGTGCCTGCCCATACTCTATATATACATCTGAAGAACCCATTCAATACAGCCCGACCAAGGATTCGCACCAAGGAAGATAGGTGTCTATATATATAGATCATAGATCTGTGCACACAATTTCCATTTGGACAGAGGAAAGGGTATACATTCATCTAGTAACAACAAAAACTGAACACCAAAGTGGCAAGAAAAGGCATTCAAGTAGGAAAACACGATTTATGTTCGAAGGGTACAATGAATGCAGCTGTCAAAGAGAACAAACTTTGTATAAGTATTGGCTCCAGGGAAGATACACGTTTGCACAAGACACCACCAAGACATAACCAAGACACCACCAAAACATGACCGAGACACCATGACCGAGACACCAGGAAACCACCCAATTGTACAATCTCAAAAACACCAATTGATTCAATTCTCCAAAGCACAGTACTGTCACACTTCAGTTGCTGAATCTTTGCTCGCTTGAAACTTCGCTCCTCAATGCCGTCCTCTCGTTCCACTATCAGAGCACGGCCCCACCTCAATGTCTCCGAACGATTTGTTAACAGAAAACAGACAGAGGTCGCTAATTCGTAGGATGTGTACTGAGTGTGCTGTACAAATTGAGTTTGGCACGGCTTCGTGAAATTCAAGGCTTTCACGCACTGTTTTGCCTAAACACAATCAATGCAGCACATGAGTCGAAAAGTTATATTGGTAGCACCACAGGGCAGCTGATAGGATCTTCTGCACGCGCACACACAATTAGAGCAACCGAGACAAACCCGACACACCCCATTGCCCTCGAATTCTCACATGTTTGAGCCAAATACAGAAAGTTGATGCCGCCACAATGTGTATGTGTGTGTGTGTATGTTTTTTGGCCCCTGGCCCGGCCCTGCCTCCTTATGTAAGTAAGTAGGTGCCTACTTAAGAAAGTAAGGGAGTAAGCTTCTAGCTACTTAAGCTTCTAGTAACTGGACGCAGGATAGCTCACGCTTCTTCATGGGAGCTTCCTTGAAGAAGCGCTCGTAATGATTTGGTGCCGAGATTTTTAGGGAAACTTAACTAGTAACAAGAAGTTTCCAAGGGGCTGCTGCCCTTACTACTAGGAGCAAGGACGCTACTAGGGGCTCCTGGCCTTGCTACTAGGAGCAAGGACGTTACATCCTTTCTTTTGAAAGGACTCCCCCCTTAAAGCCCTCAGAGCTGCTGCCACACTTTGTTCAACACAGAATTGGATCCCCATGTCCCACACCATTGAGGTGACCCAGCACCAAGTAAATGTCCTACCAGTACTGCCTTAAAAGGCTCAATCGACGCATTTGCACTTGGTGTGCGCCCAAAAATACTCAAATGTACGTCAAACATGTTCTTCTTTACAAGATTTTACAAGCAGCTGCCTTTGTGCATGTAGCAGCCAGAACAACACACTGTAAGGAAATGAACAGACCATGCCTCCCTTTTGCTGGACATCGCAACAATCGCAAAGCCTTTGCCAACACCTCAACCAAGAGTTCTGAAGCAATCGCAAATTGTATACACTTCATAATCACCTTGAACAGACCGGACATATCCGGATACTGTTTGTTCTTTTCTGCCCTGGTCGCTTGGATGCAAAGGTTGCAAGCTCAGTGTTTGGCGTGTGCCTTCCTCCGTGGCAATCTCCACATCACAAATGGTGCCATGCCTGTCCAATCACTTTCTGCATACAAAAACACGGCAATCATGGTCAAAGCCTGCCAAAAAGATCTCGAAGCTCACGCTCTCCCGTGGTCTTGTCCAAGTTCTTTACAAAAACCTGCAAGCAACCTATATACAGGAAGCGTCTTGTGGAATTCGCCAGTTTAGATATAGATAGATCTGGGCTTAACTCGGGAAGTGCTGCGGTGAGTAGTCCTGGTGTCAACCCCTTCCTTCCTTGTGTGTCCCTTGGCTCCAATTTGCTCTTATGCTTCGCTTGCTTGATTGTTTGACTAGCTGGCTGCCTCGGATCGCCTGGCACTTTGCTTTGCTTATTTGCTGAGGGAACAGGCTTGTCTGAAAAATTATACAGTCCCTGAGTAACTTATGCGCGCCCACACTTGCTACAAGGTGCTTTGCCAAAAGTTAATGAAACCAAGAAAAGCAGAGAAGCACAGAAGCAAATGCAACAAGGAAATTTGCACAAAAACAAAAAGCTGGCAAGGAATATGTAAGCCCGCAAAATCGAACACCAGAAATCGAGACCTGAAACCGATTACCACCGATCACTTACCAGCCCATGTATGTGCACCCTCGCAGATTGTCAAACTGTCAAATGAGCTGTAGTTGCTTGGGCAAGGTGCTGAGACCACATCTGCAAATTGACTTGCAAGGCCTGGCAACCTTGAGGCGCAGATAGCTTCTGGCCTTGCCAAATGCACAAGTGGTTCTGAATGTCAGGCCACAAGCTGAGCAAACGACGCAACATGCTTGGAGTGGTATCTGCCTGGCCAGGCTTCAAAGGCTGAAGACAAATGTCAACAGCCTGTTCAATTTCTGGAGGCATTCAGCAGCTAGGGCGCACGTTGGGTTCCCCCTCTGGCATCTGCTCCGGCTCACCTGCAAACCCCAAAGATCAAAGAAGATCTGCGAAAGTGCGAAACTTTGAAGACTCCAAGCTGGTATGTCGTTCAAGCTTGACACAATAAGTGAGCAGCAGTTCTCAGCAGCATCAGGCGCTAGCCTTTTGGGCCTTCCTTGATAGCCTCATGGTCCTGATCGAAAAAGGCAACAGGCAGAGCTTGAAAAGCACACAAGAAGCGATTCTTATTACTGGCCAGACCTTGTTGACTAAAACATGAAGAGGGAGCTTGCGGGTGAAAAGCACCGCTTGATGAACACAAGGGCCAATTATGAGCAGGGGCAGTGTAGGGGTGCCATTCCCGCAGCTAATGTAAGGCGCGGTACTAGTGCAACTGCCGCACGTACAAGTATATCACAGGCTTAACTCTCACTGACAGTGATATCGGTCCTCTGCAGGCTGTGGTTCTGCCTCGTGCGCTGCAGAATGAGTTCCGCGTTCCTGGCGTTCCTCCTCTGCCAAGCTCTCATGAACCTTCCAAGTTTGTGATGCAAAGATCTTCGATGCAATTGTGCACTTGCCTCAGCAGCCTCCAAATCAACCAACGCAGAACCTCCCAACTCTCAACTCGCAAGTCCAACTTTCTACTGCTCTTTGGGCGGCGCCGGTTTTCTTTCCAACAACTACTCTCATGTCGCGCCTAGTAAGCCATCCACGCTTGGCAGGTCAAGACCTAGACTGATGCCTGACAAACTCGCCAAAGCTTGGGCTGTTCACAGATTGAGACAAGTCTTTCGCAAATCAAGCCTGCCTTCCTTCTCCCGAGATGCCTCGGCTGCTGCCTCGGCTCTTTTGATGCGTTCTGCTGCCTCAGACTGCGTAGAAAATCCCAGTTGAGCGCTTGTGCAAAATCAGAAAATGTGAAAATATATCTATCTATCTATCTATCTATACCGACGGACTGAAACATAGAATGCCAGCCATTTTTCCAAAAAAAAGGTAGTATTTTAGAGTGCCGCCAAATGGTGTTCGAAGGGGGTATTTTAGAATGCCTCCCTATATTTCTACCGGAGGCATTCTATGTTTCAGTCCGCAATAGCAAAAATGAAATAAGGAGTCTCTTTCTATGTGCTCTCTCCCTCTCTCTCTCCCTCTATCTATGTGTATCTATATATACAAACACTCTGAACGTCTGAACGTTGTCAACTCCGATCATGCACAAATCCACAGAACTCAGCCACTTTTCCCAATTCCCGCATCTCGTATGTTTGAACTTGATCTATGGCCTTCCTCAGGTCAAAGGCATCTATGGTCGTGAAGGCACTCGAAAACATTCTAAATTCAGCGCTGCTCGCGTGCACTTGGATTACTTTGGATTCCTCAAGGGAGCTCATACCTCTCCCTTGGCTTGCACTGCCAGGACCCTGTCCAACTGACGGCACCACACGCCGTCTTTTGGATGGTCCTCATGGTAGCGTTCCAATATGCTTTGGACCGCTTTGAGGAGGGCCTCTGCCTCGCTTCCTTGAATGCCATCAGCAGCTACCATCATTGCAAACACACAGATACTTCCTCCCCTACAGGAGAAAAATATACTATGGCCGACCTTAGCCTTAGCCTTGGCCTTAGCCTTAGCCTTAGACCTTAGCCTTAGCCTTATCCTTAGCCTTAGACTTAGCCTTACCTCCCCTACCCCTCCGGAGCCTTGTTGCAAAATGGTGACGTGGATTGTCCAAAATTCTGCCATCCCAATTGATTTACATCTTGGGGCACCCTCTCCACCCGCGCGGGAAAATAAGCACGGTCCAAAATGGTCCCGGGCTCGAATCCCGGGCTGGTCGCGGCATGGTCCCGGCCAATGCCCTGTTTTTTCCTAGATTTTGTTGTCTTTTTCGTTGGATTTGTGGGATTTTCAAAGGCTTTTCCAGCATTTTCCTAGGAAAGATTTTGTTACGTTTTCGGCTGGATTTGTATGATTTTCAAAGGATTTTCTAGCATTTCCTCTTGTTTTTGGGTTCCCAGATTTCCCCCAAAAATTGCTAACCTATTGCTAACCTATTTTATTCCATTGTTGTACTTATGCCTATACCCTTGATTTTTCCTAGATTTTGTCACATTTTCTGGTTGATTTGTAAGATTTTCAAAGGCTTTTCCAGCATTTTTGTAGGAATGCCTTTGGCTTTGTCTAGATTTTGTTACGTTTTCGGGTGGATTCGTGTGCTTTTCAGAGCATTTTCTCTTGTTTTTGGGTTCCCAGATGTCCCCCGCAAATTGCTAACCTATGTTCTTCCATTGTTGTACTCATGCCTTTCATGCTCTGCCGGGCTTCGGGTTCCTGCTAGCGCCTATGGTCTGCGCCGCCCGGGGCCCAACCCTGCCACTACATTTTCCCTTGGGGTCGGCGGCTGCAGGCGGTAGCCTGGTAAATCCGGGCGCCGGCCACGAAGCCCGTGCCCTGCCCGGAGGGCCTTCGGTGGTAACCGAAGGTTATAGACGGGCGCGCCCCCTGCCGCCGACCCACCGCCGACCCTCGTTCCCAAAACGGGGGGACCCCCTCGTCACTTCCTGTTCACTGAAGTCGCTGTAATTTACAGTATTTTTTGCGCGCGATGTTCAAAAACCTCGTGTTTTACAGGGTTTTGCGCCCCTCGGCGGCCGAGAATTTCATCTTGGCGATGTCAAAAAACACAGGTTTTTCCAGTGTTTTTGCTTTGCGGGAAGGAAAAATCGTCAAAAGTTGTATCGGAAGATTTTTTCAACATAAATTGCCTAACATATCCCGCTCAAGATAGCCAACATATCATATGCCCAACATAGCCTCCAAGATGGCTCAACATAGAGCCAACATAGGCCAACCTGGGGCCAACGTACGCCAACATAGGCCCAACATAGGCCCAACCTAGGCCAACATAGGCCAACATAGGCCAACATAGGCCCAACATAGGCTCAACATGGGCCCAAGAGCCAACACGGGGCCAACCTGGGGCCAACATAGGCCCAACATAGGCCCAACCTAGGCCAACATAGGCCAACATAGGCCTAACATAGGCCAACATAAGCCCAACATAGGCTCAACATGGGCCCAAGATGTGCCCAACATAGACCACATGGGTCCAACTTGGCCCAACCTAGGGCCAAGATGCGCACCAAATAGCTTAACTTTATTCAATATAGGCCCCACCAAGGCCAACATAGGTGTGACATACGCCCCACAGACCCAAGTGGGCCGGCGCCCGGCTGTTAGGCGTAAGCCTTTAAATATATATATATATATAGATATATATATATATTATTTTTTAAATAGCAAAAAATACAGATAGAACATGTATACAATTGCATACGCCTCACTTGCAAGAAAAAACACATAACAACTAAAACTTAGAATGCCACCCATAAAGAAGCTGAGGCTCTGTTGGTACTGCCACCGTGCGAGAAGCAACATCCCTTGCTTGCATACGAGCCCTGCCAGGTCCTAGACCCTTTGTGGTATGACAAAAACACACCTCCGATATGGACTGGGATTATTGTGAGGCCCTTTGCATCCAAGTTCCGAAAGGCTTGGCGGGCGCAAAAGTCCTTCACCCGGACAAACGGACCTGATGCAACCTTCCGAATCTCTTCCTCATCAGAGGTTTGAGCCATGAACTCTTGAATGTCGTCCTCCTGCATGAATTCCTGCAATTCCGCCTGCTCGTCAACGCCTTCCTCCACATGTTCTAGCTCCGGCTCGACCTCCTGCCAAACCTCAAGGACTTCATCAGCCACCCCTCCAGCGAAGGCACCTGGAAGCGCTGTCTCACCAACAAGAGGTTCTCCGCGAAGCATTACCAGTGGCAGCGCCTCCCCACTCCCAGCCCTGACAGTTAGCTGGTCTGGAGCCCCCTCCAGTGTGATTTGAAGGGAGAACATGGTTTCGTGGACCAACCGCAACTCCGCAGCACTTTTGAGCCTGGGCACAACCTTTTGCTCTTGCCGGTTGAAGAGAAGCTTGATCTCACTTGTCCGCTGGAATTCATCGAATCTCTTCTGCTGACAAGCCGTGAGCTGTTTCCCACGCATCTCTCGCTCAGCCCGAGTCTGGTCCCATCTCACTTTTTCATCTGCCCACTTCAAAATCAGTTTGCCCATGGCTTCCCCTATCCA